TCGGCCTTGGTGAGGCCGCAGCTGGAATACTGCGTCCGGTTTTGGGCTCCACAATTCAAAAAGGATGTGGAGAAGCTTGAGAGAGTCCAGAGAAGAGCCACGCGTATGGTCAGAGGCCAGGAAAACAGACCTTATGACGACAGGCTGAGAGCTATGAGGTTCTTTAGCCTGGAAAAGCACAGCCTCAGAGGTGATCTGATGGCCACCTATAAGTTTATCAGGGGTGACCACCAGTATCTGGGGGAACGTTTGTTCAGCAGAGCTCCCCAAGGGATGATGAGGTCGAACGGTTATAAACTCCTGCAAGACCGTTTCAGGCTGGACATAGGGAAGAATTTCTTTACTGTTCGAGCCCCCAAGATCTGGAATAGCCTGCCATCGGAGGTGGTTCAAGCACCTAAAATTGAACACCTTCAAGAGAAATTTGGATGCTTATCTTCCTGGGATCCTATGACCCCTTTGGGCGGGGAGCTAGACTTGATGATCTTCCGAAGTCCCTTCCAGCCCTAATGTCTATGAAATCTATGAAATTCAGGCTCAGGCTTTTAGAATGTTTGTCCTTAGCCACAGTATTTAAGTTAGAAAAACAACATTGCACATATTTAAATTACAAGGCTAAGTAGGCGGCAGCAGGTTTGTGTTTAAAGGGCATCTGAAACTAAGTTTATTGAAATAATTTTTACCAGTGCAAGTGCTAAAATAAGTGTTTACATTAGTAGATTGCACCAATTTAATTTTATGTGTTTTATAGTTAAGTTAGTACAAGAACTGTGTCCATACCAGCCCCTGTACAGGTTTTGTTTTATTTAGTTTTAAAAGAGTTTTCCCTTGCCTCACCACATTTACCATTTTGGGTTCATAAAAGAGCCTTTCTTTTATTTACAGCTGGCATTTACCTATCAGTTGACTAGTCACCAGCATACTTGATCTTTGAATGGGTCAGAAAATTTTATTTTCCCAACCTTTGGCATTTCCCGTTTTACAGTCTGTTATGTTCTCACCCTCACACTCCTACCATTTAAACACTGGTAGGTTGGAAAGACTAATCTCACCATTTAAACATAGCTGGCTATATGCAGCTATAGGACTGCCACAGCTATTCATTGTTGTGTATGGTTTTAGAATATATTTTAGAAAGAGTTAAGGAGTCGTGCCCACAGTTCATGTGGACTGAATACAAACAGCATGCAAACTCAGTCTCATTAACAGGGTTCAAGAAAAGTGCATTGGTAAAAATGAAGAGCAAATGCACTGGTACCGCACAACATTTGCTGCAGTGGGCTGTGTTGACACTAGCCAGCTTGAATACAAACTCTTCCACAGAAAAGCTTGATGCTATGGAGAAATAAAAGGAGGAAACAGAGAAAGGATGAATACAATACAAGCCTTTTGTGTTATCTTTAATTGAAAGGCTATACCAGTAACCAGTAATGTCAGAGGTGTATAGATGTACAAGAATTCTGCTCCAATTACTTAAACAAGATACTTATTTCCAGCTATGCATTTCTCATTAGGACATGGTCCAATACCCAGCCTGACCTGGAACCCAGAAGCTGCTTTTATCAGTAACCAGTTGACCCAAAATGCCATATTACATTTTAAGGAACTGGGATTCCTAATAGAAAGGAGTTTGGTGGATCATATTGCAGCTTCAGTTTTTCATACATTTCATCTGGTGCAAATCAGTTTACTGATTACATTGATTCACACCAACCATTATTCTGCTAATGTCTCAATCAGTAAATTGTGTTCCTGTTGAGGTAGGGCAACTCACAGGACTCCTGGGGTTCTGAGTTGCACTAATTTAATTTCAACTACTCCCCACTGTTTTAATTAGTTGCTAACAAACTGAAGGCATTCTCTCTACCAGAGTGTTTTGTTTTGTTCCAATTGGAGAAATAGCATTCAGAATATGTTCCAGGAATTTCTGAAAGTTCATTCTCATTCTGCATTAGAAAGAAAACAAAAACACTATTAATGTTTTCCACAAATTTGGGAGTTTTTTCTGAAGGTGTGCAGTGGGAAATCTAAAGTTCCCCTGTTCCTGCTAACCAAAGACTCAGTGATATGGAAAGTCACCTGAAGGAGATCAAAATTCTGATAGAATCTGGGATGAAAGCCTCTGCTCCAAATTAAGCAGAGCTGCAATTTAACTTCATCCTCCTCTGGGCTTACAGCATGCAAAAGTTATATACTTCAGAAACAGAGTGCTATGGCCCCAGTAAAACCTCATAATGAAAAAAGCTTTGTCCAAACAGATACATATCCGCAAAACACAAGTTTTAATTAAACACATTTTCATCAAAAACAATCCAGCTCACCATATTTAGCCTGCTGCTCTTCTGGGGGACCCAGAGCCAGGCAGAAGCCCAGAAGTTCATAGGAAGCAGCTCTTCCCTTTCCCCAGAAGTATGAAAAACAGCTCTCCCCACCCAGATATTTTCTCCTCTATTCCCATCCTCCTAATGTACATGAGTAGGATCCAGATTGTAGGCCCCATCTGTTGGACACCTTGAAGCCCCCCTGATGCCACCCCCATACACATAAACCAATACAAAACCAGGAACTGTAATGCTCTTTCCCCTTCATTTTATTTATGAGCTCAGTTTAAGGATTATTTTTAAGGGAGGAAAAAATGCAGTCAACATCTCTGCAGTTCTGGGCATAATATTGGGTAATTTTTGCAGCTACGTAGGCAGGCTCACAAGATTATAAGGATCATGTATCCATGGTGATTTTTAATAAGAAAGCCTCTTGCAGTTGAGTATATTTGGAAGCAAGAAATGAAGTCAGAAAACTGTAAATTACATTTTGAAAATGCATCTCTGAGAACTGGATTCCAAAAAAATGCAGGGCTGGATAAGATTCTAGGAAGTCAAACAATGCTGCCCACCAAGACTGGGAGAAACTGATCCACAGCATCACTCTTCTAGTTTATTCCTATGCTGTAGTTACCCTGAGTCCTCTCCTGTTCTCCAGTAAATTGCTCATAGCTTATTATGTCAAGGTCCAACAGGCATATTTTGTAAATAGTAATATCAACATCAGCATGTTACTTCAACTCCCACATGGTTCTTGTTAAGTTACATTTTAGAGAGTAACGTTTCATTAACTCTCCCCCTCCCCCAGTACTAAACATAATTCAATTCATATAGCTTTGTTTTGCCAAGTCATCTAACAAAGGATGTACAGCAATGCCACACAATAACACATCCAAGACAGCAATAATATAAATGCAAGAAGCACTCTAAAACAATTAATCAAATTGAATAGTCACTATGTAATATTACACTTTGAAGCTTCTTACAACAGCATTGGTTCGTTGTTTCTATATTCAGATTAAGGTTTAAAATTGACAAATAACAGTGTATATATTTACTGTTGAGTATTAAACAGTACATATTAAGTATTATATTCTTCCTAAACCCACCTTCAGTACCTTCCAAACCTACCTTCAGTTCCTACAATTGAGAGCTAGCTTTTTGTGGAAAAAATACTCATATTTTATTAAGCCACTTTTATCCAAGTAATTATTTGGCCCTTACCACCGTAACATACAAGTGCAAGGGCCTCTGTTACTCTGGGACAAGACTGTCCAATTACATCAACACAAGAATTTTTTGCTTTTCTTTTTGGTATCTGTTCTCTAACCATATGCAGTGAGTACCCCCTCAACCATGGAAGGATAGGGTAACCAAGAAAACCACTATAGACAGAGCTGCGCTGACAAGAGAGAATTTGGAAAATAGGCCTAAAGATTACGTGTTGGGAAACGGGAAGCTGATTTGGTTGTTCCACAAAGTATTATCTAGAGCATCACTTAGAGGCTCAGACTATAAAGAGGCAAGCCCTCAAGTGGACAAGATGTCAGGTTTCTGTGAAAAGGACTATGACAATGATAAATCAAGCTATTACTGTTTGCATTCCCTATGTAGCATCTAGTTGCTCTGTTTCCATAGCTACAATATGTTGAGATCTCTGAAGTATCTACAGCAACAAGGAAAGGCAACATCCATGTTCACTTAAAGCTGATATCCCGTCTTTTTTCCTTCCTCTCTCATCCTTCCTCTGCCAATCAGCCAACTAAATGAAGCTGATGGTATCAACCTTTTTTCTTTAAGTGGACTTTTTAGAGTAATTTATAACTGCTGTTTCTAATAGTACTAGAATGAAAACCCCAACAAGCACCTCACTCACCAATGTCCCCCCCCGCCCCCCCATATACACACACTTCCTTCTCCTTTGGAGTAAACAAATTGCCTCACTCTATGATTTCAGCAACTGGAGACAAACCTTGTTTTGTTTAGAGGAGGGCTGTTGCTTCCTCGGTCAACAAACATTTACCAAACAAGCAAAAGGCTTGAAGCAGTCTAGTGCTCCTTCAGGTCATCCAAACCAAATCACTGATAGTATTCCCCTTTCTCATCTACTCCTGACAGAAGGTTGTCACCTTTGAGAAGGCTTATTACACATATTTAGCTTATTTAATCAGATACTTCAAGCTACAACAAGGGTAATATTCCTATGTCACATTCAAGTGTAGCAACACCTCTTTTGTAAAACTGACCTCCTTTTATCCATATTGTCTCTCTTTCCACCCCAACATTATTCCAAAACAATGCTTCCACTTAGAATATTCTACAGGTTTCATGACAACTTTGTTCCCCTCAATGAAACTTATTCCCTGTAGTGGTTAAAAAGACAAGATGAGCCTCAAATATCTCACCAAACATGGAAAAAAGTTCAAATACAGGGATTTTTGATCTTTAGTATGATGGTTGGCATGCAAATCATCTAACTAGGTAACAACTGGCAAGTACACACACATACAAAACACAGCAATAAGATAAGCAATCAGATTAACCTTCTGTAATGGATTCTGACATGGGCCACCAGTTCGATGCCAAGTCAAGTCATTGGGAGTCTCTTCTGTTTCAGTGCAATTAAACCAGGCCCGTAGGTCTTCACTAACAGGTATGCTTTATCACAGTACTGTTTACCTCAATCAAGGGCACTCTATGCAGCAGTCTACCAGTTCCCAGCATGTGGCAGAATCGGTGCAATAATCATCCTAGAAAGATACAGTTCATAATCTAATTACACTTTCAGTTCTTGTGTGACTTTTTTTTTCTTAATAGTTAAATAAAACACTTAATGTTCAATTCTTGCTGTAACTATAAAGAGATTAAGGCATACTTGAGCCTCAATGAATGGTAACACACATTCTAAATTAGCCTTGACCTACAGATTAGACGCAATTTTGAAGAAGAATGGTTTAATGTGTGTAAAAAATTAATAAAACACAACTCTTAGAAATATTCTTGAAATGTTCCAGGATGGCAGCAGACCTACTGTACATATTTAAAGTTGTGCTACTGCTTTTGCAAGCTCATAAAGCAAAGCATGGCACAAATGTTTAGCTTTTTATACTGACATTATTAATTTTCATTTGTATGGACACATGGATGGCTCAGATATTAGTATTATAGAACATGCTATGGAATCAGCCTGCCCTTCCCCCTTTCTTGGCAAGAGTTAGTTTTTATTACTCACTGAAGATACTAAGCTGACCTTCATGAAGAATTAAGTTTTATTCCTCCACAAAACAGGTAATGCACAGGTAGCATTTGTTCAAGTTTTTCCTAGCCAAAGGGTTTTCCTAGTACCTTCCATGGGTTTTATATCAGACCCCAAGAGTACTCCATATCACTGTTCTGGATTTGCCCAGACCTAGGCAAGAGGATATCTTGAGCCTGTAGAGTCACCCCCCACCCCACACCACCCTAATGAGAATGAAGACAATTCTCAGTTACTGCTACTTGCAATTTGAAAACTTTATTTATTACCTGGAGCATGATGATTGCTAAGCATGGGCGACTGGTGTCTCCTAATACTGGGGGGAGAACCAGCAGCTGATCGCCGACCGGGGGGGGGGACAGAGGGAGAAAAAACATTGAGGGGGGCGAAGCTAAGCATGCATGCATGCACACATGCCTGCCCGCCCCCCACCCCCCCATGAAAGTCTGTGGGGGGAGGGAAAAGGGCCATGGTGGGGGAGGGAGCAAGGCTGGGGCTGACACCAGGCAGAAATCCAGCTTGGGGCTGGGGTCTGCTGCACCTGTGCAGCTACCCCTTCCCCCACAACAGGGTTCACAGCCCAGTGCTCATGTCCACTACCCCCCAGCCCTGCACTGGCCCTGGCTGCCTCCCTGCACTGGCCCAGCCCCAGCCCCTCACCACCCGGGGGGGCCTGGAGCTGGAGCAGAGCTAGCCTTGCCTGCGCTACTGGGCCAAAGGAGATGGAGCCCCTGGGACCCCCACCCCACCCTCTAAGTCATCCCTCAGAAGAGCCCGGCAGCTCCTACAGAGTCATGGCACTGGGGAACCAAGGGGGGCACATGGCCGCCCCGATCTTTACATGGGGCAAAGGCGGGCTGCAGCTGCAAAGTAAGCTGGGCTCTGCCTGCTCCATGCCTTGCTGCAGCCTTTGAAAGTGACGCGCTGTCATGTGTGTCCTGCTGCTGGGTGGGCCAGGCAGCAAGGCACATGCCACAGTGCTGCACCACTTTCAATGGCTACAGCGAGGCATGGAGCAGGCAGAGCCCTGCCCCTACCCCACTCCCTCCTGCACTGTGGGGGGTCTTGATCTCCCTCCCTCCCCCCCAGCCAGAAACTAAAGGAAGAAAAGAAACCTTACCTACCTCCCTGCTGTGCTGTGCTGTGCTGTGCTGGGCCAGCTGAAAGCCCAATGTGCCCCTCCCTCCTGCTGCAGTAGCCTGCAGTTGTTTGCCCTGGCGTTTGGGGGGGCTGAGCCCTGTTAGCCCCCTCTTTCTGCCATCCCCAGTGGCCGATCCCCGCCGCTGGCAGAAGTGCTTCTGGCACTTCTCTCAGGGGGGGCATGGCCAATCTCAGGGGGTGTACGTGCACCTGCATGCACCCCCTATGCATTGCCAATGTTGCTAAGAACCCAGTATTATCCTACAATCAAAACCTGTGCACTAGAATTCAAACTGAAATTTATAAGAGTTTTTTATTGAAAGACACGGTATCTACTTTCACTGTACCAGTTCCCCATAACTGAATTACTTCTAACAGTTTCCCCTTTCCAGGTCTGCTTAAGCTTTCAATGTATACAATGATTCTGCCCTCCAAGAAAGTTAAGAATTCCCTTTCTCAAAATATTAATTAATAAAGCACTTTGGTATTGTGATTAAAGGTGTTTGTGTGGTTTCAAATGGTAAAGTGTTAAACGACAAAGTTAAAATAAATGAATCAATACTACTACCTTGTTCCAACTGCCAGTGACCTGTAAGAGGGTGCTTAGAATACTCAGATCCTGGTAGAAAAGTTTTAAACATGAGACATTTTATATTGGTGTTTTTCTAGCATTACAATGTGGCTACCTCTCATTCACTCCCCAGGACGTACTCTGTGAAAAAAGGAAAGTTTCACAGCCAAGTGCCTGTGCAGAGAAATGGGCTGCACTTTTCAGTACCCTCAGATCAGACAGATCAGTTGCTTTTGTATTAAAACTGCTGCACATTTGCAGTTTCTACTATACAGTTAATAAACAGAAACTCATTGGTAAGTAGTAAAGAAAGGTTGAGCTGACATTGTTCATCCTATGCCAGTCCTCGGTCTTCACAAACTGAACAGCTCATTGGGATAGGAAGATTAAGACATGCCAGTTTCTACAGCTTAAGGCCCATGATAGTATGATAAGGCTAGCAACATGTCCAACCACCTGTGACCTCCCAGCCTGAATCACCAAGTATCCATTTACAGTTGGGTTAGCTGGGGACAGCCTTCTGCATGAATCCAAAGAGGGGCTGAATTCAGGCCTCTGAAGCTGTAGCAGGATGCCTTATCTGCTCTTCCACCACACCCCAGCGCACACACTATACAGAGAGAGAGGAAAAATAGACATATTACGATTTTCTTTTTTTTTAATGAAACCTAGGAACAGGTTGATCTACTATCTGAAATATCATATAATACATTTTGTTGTTGTTAAAACAGCCCTACTACACAAACTCTAACTTTAAAAAAGTGTTGGGTAAGCACTTCTTACACAGGTTGAACAGAATAAAACTTTCGTAAGTCACCTGGTAATCATTAATCTTTATACCGTACAATCATTCAAGTTGTGGATCTCGATTCAAGGAGTGGATCTGTGAAATGACATTTCTAAATGACCTTTACTTCTGCAAATAAACTCAACATGGAGCCTCAACAATTTAGGTGAGGCTTACTTTGTATGTTCCCATTCTAAGTGAACTCCTAAAGCCCAGGGAAATACCTGTTGTAGCCCAGGCAGTAATGCTTCCAGAACCAGCAGCAAAAATTGGAAGACAAGAACTTTACTGGCCAAGAAAGAGAAGTGTAATGCTTTCTTTAAAGCAGTATGAGAGCAGAGCTTGCCATATTGAGTTCTGTATTCAACTTCTTTGTGGAAGCAGAGAAAATCCAAAGGCTAGTGGACTTCTCAGTGGTTACTAAGAGAAAGCAAGTCTATTGGTAGCACAACTGGAATTTTTTGTATCAGAACCTCTTTGGAAAAGTAAGTGACTTGTTACTTTTTCTTCAGTAGTTTCATAAAATATTCTGTCTTCCATAATTAACTCACACTCACAAATAACATTCTCACCATATCACCTGGACAGCTTTGGTTTACCCTGTTGTTAGCACACAGAGACCTTGCAAAGAGAAGTTTCATAAAACAATGGTAGCCCCTATTCCAGGTGAACATTGGCTTCCGTCCTAAACGCTTGTCATACCACAGAGGTAAAGATGGAGACAACAGATGAAGGTGATTAGTTCAACCTTATTGGCAACCTGCCAGCAACTATCAGTAAGTGCAAAAGTTAAAAATAACTTGGCCTTGGATTGTATTCAGGCTCCTAGGAGAACACAATGCTAGTGTTATTTCTAGTTGTAGAGATGGAAACCAGAACCACTTTAGCAAACAGTTTTCCAAAGCAAAGAATGATGACACGAAGACCAAAACATCAGTGAATATGTCTTAAGCTCAGAGTACCACAGGACCAAAATACCATTAGCAGACCAGTTGTTCTAAACTTAAAAGATGTATTCAGACATTAAAAAAAATACAGGGAACTCTGCTATAAAACACCATATACTATTGCTAGCTGCTGCTTTTTCCCCACAACTGCAGATAATAATGGGCCATATCTATGATTATGTTTCCTTACTTCCACAGTCTGCACCTTCTGGATCCTTGGACTAAGACCATAATGCCTATTATTAACTCAAGTAGTGCATTCTCAGCAGAATTAACAGTCTAGGAAACTCTGCTTTCTCTTTGTCACACGCTAAACTGTCTTGCCTCTAGCAATAGAGAGCCAACACAGCAGCAACATGAAAGCAAAGGAAAGAATTTATAGTTCCTTGGACACCCAGGCCAGATTTAAGTAATGAGTAGTTTGATCCAGGCTGGTCTTTGCCTTCCTGATCTACTACAGTAAGTGAAACAGCTACAAGTGCTTGAACTGACTTATCAATAGCTAGCTGAGAGAGTCTTTCTGCATGTCAGACTAGCAGCTCCGACAGAACTCTCACTACTGAATTGTTCCACCTTCCAAAATTCAGTTTATGAATTTGATAGCCAGTGTTCAAAAGTAATCAAGTACCAAATACAAAATAGTTTGCTTTCTTTAGTAGAACTGTGGTTCAATAGGGCTAAGGACAGACATTCAAAGTGCCCGAGCCTGAATTGATCCAATCTTTGCAGGTTAGTCTAACCTGGCTAAGCTGAACCAGTTTGTAACCGGAGAGACATTCTCTTTGGACTGAGGAAATGCAGGCACATGTCTGCAGTGGCTCAGGCTAGATGCCAGGGGGCACTAGAGCAGCCTTCCTTTCCATAGCATTGAGCTGGGGGGGGGCGTGCCCAGGCCCTGGCAGGATCTCTGATTAGGGAGGTCTGCCAGCACCATCCCAGGCTTTTCCCCTCTCGCTGCTCAAGCGGCAGGAGTTTTGCCAGACTACAGGCCCCTGCTAGCACTTTTGGGGGGAGGGGGGGAGGGGGAATGCAGTGAATGCATCTGTTGATGATACGGAGCTTTTCATTCTTCCTTCCTGCTTCTTTATACTGTCTGCAAAAAACTGACAGGCAAGCAAGCCAGCAGAGGGCTAATAATAGTGTTTATCACCTCATCAGCAAAACAATAGCCTCTGTCCATTAGTTCAAACTCTTCTTAAACAGCTTACCAGCTGACCTGTTGACTAGCTCCAAAAAGCTGTAAGCAGTCACTGTTCTATCTGTCTTTCCCAGTGAAATTGAAGACATACACACACAGACACCTCCTGGCATTAGCTAGCATACCACAAAGGGGGGGGGGGGGGAGGGGTTCCTGCTTGAGGGGTGTAGGGCAGTGGAAAGCCAGGCAGACCCTGCTGTACCTCCAGTCTCTGCCAGAGCTCCAGCCAGGGAGCAGTGGGGAGGGCCAGCACTGCTGTGGAGCAGAGAGCCCCGCCCAGCCCAGAGAGCATGCTGGGATGCTGAGGGAGTCTGGTTTATCTTAAACCAGCAAAGTGTCCAGGACAGACATTACATAAACCAGTTTGAGCCAAATCAGTTAAGTCTGATACTATATTCAATCAAGTTTATCTCAAACCAGTTACAGCCATTTTCAAACTGGTTTAGGTATACTGAATGTCTGTTCTGTAACAGGTTTAAACTAGTTTCTGATCACTTAAACCAGTTTGTGTGTAATGTCTGTCCCTAGCCTAAGGGAATCAATCTCCACAGAAAGAATTTGTAAGAACTCTTTGAAGATCAAAGCTTCAGCATAGGAGGTTGTCGCAGGGAGAGGCAAACCTGGACAGGCTCAATGAGTGGGGGGGACGAGAATCTGATGGTGTTCAACGCTGATAAATGCAAGGTTCTCCACCTTGAGAAGAAAAACCCGCAGCATCCTTATAGGCTCGGCAGTGCTATGCTGGCTAGCACTATGGAAGAAAGAGACTTGGGGGTCATCATTGACCACAAGATGAACATGAGCCTGCAATGTGATGCTGCAGCTAGTAAAGCGACCAAAACGCTGGCTTGCAGCCATAGATGCTTCTCAAGCAAATCCCGGGACGTCATTCTCCCCTTGTACTCGGCCTTGGTGAGGCTGCAGCTGGAATACTACATCCAGTTTTGGGCTCCACAATTCAAAAAGGATGTGGAGAAGCTTGAGAGAGTCCAGAGAAGAGCCACACGCATGATCAGAGGCCAGGGAAGCAGACCTTATGATGACAGGCTGAGAGCCCTGGGGCTCTTTAGCCTGGAAAAGCGCAGGCTCAGGGGGG